CCTTCTCCTCTCTGTTCCGTGCCATTTGAGGGTCACTGTGAACTCGTGTTTGTTTTTTTTTAATGCAGTGTATTTTAATTCTCCACTCACTGTCTTGTTTTATGCTCAAATTGTCCCAATGTGGCCAAGGGGAGCCCTTTAGGGCCAGCTTCTGGGTCCTGTTGACAGGACCCTGTTAGTCTCGTAGGTCTTCCTTGCCTTCTGGTGTCAGGTGCCCCAGGCCCAGCGGGGACAAGCCATGTCTCCAAGGAGCCTTGTCCCCTTTAGCAACCCTCTGTGGGTGTTTGAAACTGCCATCTACACATGACAGGAGCCCCAGCAGGGCAGAGGCCAGACCTGCGGGTCTCCCAGCTGGCTGCTTGTGCGCAGGCCCAGAGGCCATGGCCAGAGCGTTCCCACCACGCTGCCGTTCCCCAGTGCCTCTTGTTGGATATAAAGTTTTTTAAAAACCCAACATTTTCTTTAAACCCGCGTTATCTCACAGCTACCTCTTATCTGCGTCTCCGGCCCCAGCACTTTGTGCCCGACCTGCAGTGCGTGCCTTCAGTGTTTGACTCGACTGGTCTGTCAGAAAGGCCAGCACGAAGGCTCCGTGTAAATGACATTGTGCCGAGCCTTCCCTAAGCAGAAATCAGTGTGCACGCCCACCCTCGGCTCCTGACCCGGAGGCACCGGGCCCTGTGCTGCCCCTGGGCCTGTGCGGGCTCCTCGTGGCTGGCGTGTGTGCATGCGTGTGCGCGTGCATGCGTGTGTGGACCCAGCTCCCCTCCATGCTGCTGAGGGGGTGTTTTGTAAAAGCATAACTTGCTATGGCTCCCAGGCACCACGTGGATCCTGGGCCAAAGTGTCTGCAGGGAATAGTCGCTGACGGGGACCCCTGCCCGCCCCCGCAGCTCAGGAACGGTAACAGGGTCCCGCTGTCTTTGCTCCGCAGCAGCTGGTTTGCGGTGAAAGCCTTTGTAGGAAACTGTTGCATTCCCGGCCTTGTCAGCTGTGAACCTGTTAGGAGCGTCTTTTCAGGGCGTGACAAGGCTCCCTCCGTTCTCCCTGGCCTGTCTGGCGCCCGGCCGGCCACTGGGTGGAGCTCCGCGCACACGCCCGCGTGCAGAGGCCAGAGCACATTTGACCTGGAAAGTAGATCCGAGTCACGTGTCCTACTGTAACGTAAAACCACACGTTCTCGATTTCACCGAGTTTTGCACATTAGTATCTTATGTCGTGGGTTCAAATAAGGCTAATGGTGGACAGGCCCAGAAGAGCTGCTGGGCAGTAGCTGTGGAATGTCCCTGCCCCCTTTCTTCAGGAAACAGTCACTGAGACATAGTTTACACAAGTGACGTGAGAGCTCAGGTTTTAAGTGTCCAGTTCAAGGAGCTTTGACAGATGCGTACACCTGTGTCACCCACACCTCGACCGAGACGTGGGACGTTTCCATCATTCCACAAGGTTCCTTTGTGCCCTCCCCTACCGCAGGTGCAGGCCTGTCCTGGAACTCTGCAGATGCAGGATCCTGGTGGGCACCGTGTCTGGGGGCTTTGGGTTCCTCCACCGTCGCGAGCAGGCCATGATCTGCTGACCTCGTCCCCTGGTGGGGGACAAAGGCTGGCATCCAGTTTGGGGCCCTGGTGAATCAAGCCGCCGAGGATGCTGTGTGGACACGCGTTTTCGTTTCTCCTGGGTGAGTTCCAGAAGTGGAACAAACCCTGCTTGTTTGGTCTTACAAGGAGCTGCCCACGCGCCTGGGCCTCCCGTAGGGGAGGAGCCGCAGGCTCGTGACCGGTGCTTTTTCTTCCTGACACTCGGCTCCCGTGTGCCTGCCTCCCCCCTTGTTCACACAGACGCTCACCCCGCCCCGCAGGCCGTCCTGCATGCCGGGGAGGGGCTGTGCCCTAAAGTGGGACCTGGCTCACACACTCTTAGAGGCCAGGAGGGCCGTCTCCAGAAACAAGCCTCCCTGGGGCCCGAGAGGACCTGGGAGTCGTGGGCACGGGCCTTCTTCCTCGGCAGCTGTCCCCGGGGGCTTCGGCTTCCCCGCATCGCCAGGGGCGAAGGGTCCCTGCGGGTCCTCCACGACTCTCAGTCCCTCCACAAGCCAGGACGCCTGGGCCAAGGGAGGGCCGGGGTCTGCGTCTGCGCAGTGACATGGGTAAGGGTGGGCTCTGGGGCCGTCCCCTAAGCTTCGAGCTTCCATTCTCCTACCTGTGAAAACAGGGTGATTTCACCCACCTCTCAGGGCAGTTAGTGCTGTGTTGAGGGTTACGAGGAGCTTGAGGTGCAGTGCCTGGCACCCCATGGACACTCCACGTCCCCCATTCTGTCTGTCCTTGGCCATTCCAGCCTCTCCACAGCTCGGCAGTGGCCAGGCTGGTTCCTACACCCACACTGGACGTTCCCACTGATGGCCTCAAACCATTCTCATCATTTAACCAAAAGCCATGGATGGTTCCCTTTGGGGGGCACCCCAGTTTGTTCTGGGGATACAGTTAGGAGTCTGCGTTCTTGTGAGCCTGCTCTGTGACCAGGTCTCTTCCTGTCGGCAGCAGCACCTGGCACACACCTCCAGGTGCCCTCTGTCGTGGAACCTCGGCTCCTCTTGTGCTGGTTTAATTCTCGCCGTAACTCCATAGATGCCTGTCGAGAAGTGATAACCTGAGCTCGCGATTACCGAGCACATCCAGGTACCTTGTGCTGTCTAGGAATGATCCACTCGATTTTCACAGCTGCCCCATTTTCCCGAGGAGGAAAGGGGCCAGAGAAGCTAAGAAGTTGCCCCAGGCCACACAGCAGGTAACAGACACAGATGTGAGCACTGGTGGTCCCATGAGCCCCCGAGAGCTGGCCGAGTGGCTTCTGCCAGCACCGGGCAGCACTGTTGTGTCTCTGCATTAAAGTTAGTCGTCCGGGCCCTGGGCGACCTGGACAGCCTCCTGTGCTGGCACCTGCTTCCTGTGGAGATCAGAACGTGTGCCTGCCCCTCGGTTCCTGCCCTGCCCTGCACTCTGTGTCCCTTAGGGACTTGGGTCTGGAGTTGTGTCCCCGAGTCACCTGTGCACTTTCTGGATGTCCCCCACTCGACGGCCGACAGACGTGCAGTTTCTCCAAACTCCACTCTTGGTGAGGACACAGACAGGTGGGCGCCCGTGCTGCTTCAGGCATGAAGGTTGTGGGACATCAGAGGTGTCGCTGAAACAACGGCTCCGTCCCTTAAATCCTGCTGTTCTTGCGGTGCCCTTGGCCTCCTTCCCCCCGGGAAGAACGGGGTTTTCTGAGGTGTCTGTCTTCTGAGAACTTTGCAGAAATCTTGCCCACTTCCCTGTTATGCGGCCAGGGCTTGTCCTTCGGTTGACAAGGAAATGGAGGGGAGGACACAGGTCAGGAGCCAATGGTGAGGGCTTTTGTCCAGAATATTCAAGAAGCAGCTCAAATCAGCTGAAACACAGGCAGAGCACCTGAAGAAGTGCTTCAGAGAGCGAAGGTACAGACGGCCAATGGCGAGAAGGGCCTCGGCCCTGTAACAGCTGGGGATTGCCTCCACGCTCCCACCGTGTAGGCAGAAAGATGAACAACGCCAAGGGTTGGTGAGGACGAGGAGCTGGCGTGCTGGCGCTCTGCTCCTGGGAGTGCACACCTGTAGCCGCTTTGGGAAGCAGGTAGGCGTGTGTGCAAGGTTGAAGGTGTGTGCCCCGACCCAGCACTTCAGTCCCGGGAGAGCACCATTCACACCAGCCCGAAGTTGGGAACAACCCAGATGTCCACAAACAACAGATAAATTGTGATACAGTCTATGGGATGCTAGACAGCAGTAAAAAATGGCATCAAGTCTAACACAGGCCAAAGTGTGCCCCGTTTGTAAGGGACACACAGTTAGACAGCCTCGTCGGTGAGCAACACAAACGCCAAGATGGTGGGTACCAGGCCGAGACGTGCAGCCCAGCCGCCTCCACAGCGTCTTCACAGACCAAGCCCATTTCTAAGGGCTTATCCCTTCCGAGCCCCTGACACCTTTGCATCTTGCTGGAGAAGCCAGGGGCCCACTCTTTCTGGCTGGGCTCAGTTGGGAGTGTTTTGGGACTGTGCTCATTTCTGTGCACCAGCTCCTGAAAGGCCTTGGCAAACCAGAGTCTAGTGGTGGCTGAGCAGGTGCCAGCAGCAGTCTGCAAATGTCATTGGATGCAAGACTGGAGGAGCCAGAGAAGAGAACGCAGGGAAACTGGTTAGAGCTCTCTCTGCAGCCGCCTGGCCTAAGGGTGCTACCCTGCTCTGCCCCCCGGTCCAGCTGGGCTCGGTCTGTTCCTGGTCTGCACGTGGGGTAACATTGGACCGTCCTCGTGGTGGTGGAGACCGAGGGTGCTGAATGCACTAGTGCATGGCCGGCTGTGGAGGGCTGAAGGAGCACACCCAGTGCTGCTTCTGAGGGTGACGCGCCCGCTCATGTCTCTGGGTCTCTAATGGGGCCAGCGTGGGGAAGAGGGAGTATCCTGGCCCCGTAGCTTCAGAAGGAAACGCAGCATCAGCAGGTGGGAGTCCCAGAGTGGTGGATTCCAGCTCCAGGTGGTGGAGACCCTGGGGTTAGGACCCAGGCTGAAGATGGTTGGGAGCCGCTGGCAGGCTCTGGGAGGGATCCCCCAGCCTGGCGAGGAGTGGGCTCCCAGTGTGGTTATCCCACACCTGCGGTTCCTAGTGGGGTCAGGGAAGGCCAGGCAGCAGGACGACACGGTTGGCCGTGTGCTGGTGACGACGGGCTAACACGGGCATGCAGCTCACTAGTCTGTTTCTCTATGCGTCGGTTCCTTGATAGAAACCTAAAAAACCAACCCTGCAGATTCTCTGAATGGGAATAACCTTACCTTGAGTCGAGTGGCAGGGGGCCTTCAGGTCTCCATCCTGGGCTTTGCTCACGGCAGCCTGAGCTGCGTCAAGAGGAGGGTTGAGAACAGTCGACACCCAGACTCCCGTCTGACACACAGACGCGTTCAAGAAAATACGGCAGGCTCATAACAGTTCTTTAAACTGCACGTTCTTTATTCACACAAAGTGGATTGTTTGAATTACTTCATTCCTGGGTGATTCACTTATTCATTTCTCACATTTATCGAGTGCTTACTGTGTGCAAAGCAACGTTAACCAGTGGCGAGACGGCCCCTCTTGCAGAGGGTGGGTGACAGACAAACGGCTCCCACGGGACCCCCCCTGGAGCCACCAGGACACCCACCGTCTGCTCTCCCCGAAGCCCGCGGGCTGCAGTCAGTAGTTTTAAACTTTGTGTTCTCGGGGAAGAGGAGCATCTGCAGGAGTGGGGGGCTGCTCCTGGACTCGCCCCCGAGGCTGACCACTGGCACGTGTCTGAGCCCGAGCCCTGGGTCACCAGCAAGGACTGCCGGTCACAGGGCAGCAGCAGGCGCGGGGCCCGCATGGAACAGAACGATGCTGGCTAATGGACAGGACTCTGGCACGGAGCAACTGCAGAGAGGGGAGTAAGGGTGCTGAGACTCTCGTTATGGGGGAAATACCAGTTTCATGCTACTTCTGTGCTGTTTTCTGATATACATCACACACCCCTGGACATGCACATTTTAAGAATTCAGAAATTGGATCATAGGTATCAAATAATTTAATAGCCTTCAAATGTGTATGTTTTTTCTTCAGCAGCTGCTTCTTTCTCATATTTACAGAACTTCAGGCAAACAGGTGCAGCCCCTGGGGCAGGATTAACAGATTAGAAATGAGAAGGCCCCCAAATTTTCCAACGTGGTTTTAAATTCAAGAATTTGGCATGTAATTTAACTTCTCAGTAATTTATTTCTGGTTTATCCTTTGTCAGGTGATTTTTAGAAAGGAACATATATTTGTTGATTTCTTGATCTATCTGCCACAATTAGCAATAGATCCAGTTTCCTATAATAAATTTTATAACCTTCGTTAAGTAAACCCAAGATTAAACTCACCTTTTGGAATCTTTTAAAGAAAGAAGCATCTCAAGGTAGATGAGTTTTTGTAGATTAACAAAAATAAGAGCATTAATTTTAAAATTATAACAGTCAAGAAGTGTGGGTAGCAAAATCAGTGACTTTGGAACATAAACTGAAAAACTTTTATCCTGGTATCTTGTAAACTCACTTGAAGAAATACAGGATTGGTCAATTTAAAAAGTTAGGACTGAGTTCACAGTCTACCTTGGCTTTTTCCAGATAGCTCCTCATTCTTCTCTGAGTAGCTCAAAATCCTGTCCATTTTTTTGGCAATGTGGCAGAAGTACTGAGAATCAGACATCCCGGGGAAGTAAGAGAAATGCCAGTCCCAGACGAATTTGGCCCAAGAACGCCCATGGGCCCATGTTGGGTTAGTGGCCGAGCTGTCCCAGCGGGAAGGGGAGGGCGGAGGCACAGGCGCCTGGGTTTGACCCTCGTGGGAGATGGGACCCCAGGCATAGCGTCAGCAGTGCAGGGTCTCAGTTAGAGACGAGGGTCTGCACCGGGCTTGTGCTCCACTGGGAAGAGCCGACCAGGCTGCCAACGTGTCCCTGGGACCCCTCTGTCACCAGCAGAGGTGGGCACTGGACAGGGGGCGGGGCAGAGAAATGCATGGCTGCCCCGGCACGACCCTCCCAGGCCCCCAGAGACTAGCTGGCCAGTTTGCAACCAAAGCCACGGAGCGATGGGAAAGAAACAAGTGAGTGTAGGCTGCCGCCTCCATCTGGGGACGACGGCGGGGCTGCGGGGTCTCGGCCGTGGGCAGAGACCAGTGCCTCTGCTCTGTGCTTTCAGAATTGCGCCGTTCCCAGGAGCTTTGTCCTGGAGCAAGGGATCAGCAAGGACAGGAGTCTGTCCATTTTAAACCCGACTTCGCCACCACAGACCAGCCCACCCACCAGATCCCGTGCCCCTAAGGGCACCAGGCTCTGGGAGGGAGACCTTGGCCTGACCTTGGCCCCAGGTCTGCTCGGCCAGCTGGGAACCACAGACTGAGCAGCAGCTGTGTCGAAGTCAGAGTCCCTTGCTGTGCTGGGGACTCTGGAACCACACTTGTCACCCCGTCAGCCAACACCAGGGTTCTCAAGGGGGCACCGACACGGGACCCCCTGCCTTGCAGCCCTGGGCTCATTCCTCAGAGAAACGGACTCTCCACAGGGCCGTGTGCTTGAGGAGTCGGGGTCAGGCCTGAGGCTTTCAGGGCTTGAGGGGAAATCCTGGCACACCTGGCAACCGGGACAGCAGAGGGGTGGCTGAGCCCTTAAGTGGGAACAGCACATTCACCAACAGACGCAACCCAGGAGCTTCTGTCATTCACCCTGAGCTTTCCTGGCGAGGAAGCAGACAGCTCCACAGAAGCTGTCTAGTGTCAGCCGCCAGGGGCAGGGGGACCAGGGCCCTGGCATCCAGTGTATCATCACGATTCTGCACAGGCAGACTCGACTGGGGCACAGCGTCCTGGAGGGGTGGTAAAATGACAGCTGGCCAGTGGGCTAAATTCTCCAAGAGACTAGGACCAGGTGGGGTGGTTCCCCCGTGTGGCATGCCACAGAGAGCCACCCTTATCCTGGGGGCCAGGTGTGCCAGAACTCAGAGGCCGTCAGGCGGGCAGAAGTTAGGATGCTGTGTACACTGTGTCTTATGGAACATGGGGGCTGGGGCGCCCCGTAATCCCACTCATCTCCCCTCAGCAAGGTGCCCTCGGGGCACTCAGGCCAGGGCATGCTGCCAAATGAATTTGCTGCAAACCTGGGGAGGGAAATCTTTGTTTTTAGAGCTTTTTGGGTTTCGGAATTGGGGATCAGAGGGTTGCAGGCCTGTGATTTAATCATAAAGGCTAGGGCTGGTGTGGAGAAAAGGAGGTTCTTTCAGTCCCACGTGTTTGAAGTAGATGTCTGCAGAACGCAGGGCGGCAGAAGGATCTAGGTTGACGGAGGGCCCTCCGCTGGCGCAGACGTGGTGGGAGGGAGGGGGCTGCGGCTCCTGCACCCCCCCCACCCCCGTGTTTACCTTCCTCCTGACGCCCACCCAGCTCCTCCCGGTGAAACAGGCCCAGCTTAGGTCCCCTGCAGTGTCAGTTAACGAGGACCCAACAGGTGTCGATGACATTTCGTTCTCAGGGAGCCGGGATGCCTCCTGTGGCCCCCACTCTGGACCAGACGCCAGAGGGTACTCAGCCCCGCAGATCTCCCCACTGGGCAGCCCCTTCCAGCGTTTGTGGGTTTTCCTTCAGTTTATTTATCTTTAGTTTCGGGTGCCCTCTGGGGAGTGATCTGGAAGGACAGATCGATACTGAACACAAGTCAGCGGACGCTCCCGGAAGGGCAGCCGAGGCTGCAGGTGCGCTGAGTGGGCGAGCTGCGAGCGCTACTTGACTGCTCCCGGTGATGACAGCCGCGTCTTGGACTCCTCCTTCCTCTCTGACATGTCCTGACACTCCCCTGCATGTGACGCGGGCCGGTTCTTGGAGGCCTGTCCTCAGTGCCCCGTGCAGCCCCAGCCTCCTCCACAAACCACAAACCAACTCCTCGGGAGCACAGCCACCCACCCAGTCCGATGTGCGTGTTCTTTTGTATTGTTTCCTCCATTTTCATACTTCGTGACTCTGCTATCAAATCTCTCTTTATAAACAAACAAAAAAAATAAGGGGGGAATCAAGTATTTTAACACTAGAAACAAAGCATAAATACTGGCTTTAACTTTCCATCCCGTTGTGTAGGAAGCCCAACGTGGAGGAGCCTGAAGGTAGTAGGTTGGTGAGGGTGCGGCCCTGAATGTCGCGTGGGAGAGTACAGTTTGTCTGTACACCAGGCACCTGTTGCCTTGAACAGCACGGCCATGGCCTTTTTTGGAAAAACCCGGAGAACTTGAAGAGAACGGGCCTCGTCCTGTTCTTGCCTCAGCGCTCTCCACTGGGAGAGCAGCAGCGTGCCCATGACAAAGTGCTGCGTCCAGGCGAGATGCGGCCACCTCCCCCCAGGACTTGGGACCCGGGAGGGAGGGGGCGACGGGCTGGGGCTCGGTGCCTGCACACTGTGCCTCCAGGGCGCGCACCGGGGCACCTGTCGGCTGGCCCCGCAGTGGGCACTGGCGGTGGCCCCCAGGACCGGCACTCAGGGCGGCCGTGCCCGCGGAGCTGCCGTCTACGCCGACCGCTGCTGTGCCCCGGCGTGGTCCACAGAGCAGCTCTGGTGCCTGCAGTGCATCTTCTTTATCAGCCGCTGGAGTTTGCTGGGGAAGTTTCTGTTCATGTAGCGGTAAAGCAGCGGCATCACGGGGCTGCTGGAGAAGGCCAACAGTCGCGACAAATCCTTGGCGAAGAGCAGTATCCCCAGGTCGTGCCCGTCCACGGGCTTCCCCCGAGCGGTGAGGAGCGTGTGCCCCAGGAGGGTCAGGTAGTGTGGCGTCCAGAGGCCAAACTGTGTGCACACGGTGGCCACCAGCAGCCTGTGCACCGAGGGGTCCAGCCTCCCTGCATCCTGGTCGAGGGGCGTGTCCTCCTTCCGGATCCGCGAGATGAGCACGAGGGCGTAGAGCACGGCCATGGCGGGCACCAGGTACCCAATGAACACCAGGATGGCGTCGGCGGCCTCGGCGTTCTGCATCCTGGAGCACTCGACGATCCTGGCCGCCACGTGGCTGCAGATGTAGAACAGCAGGGAGGAGAAGCTGGTGAGCAGCGCCCCGCCCCAGACGAAGCCGCACACATGCCTGGTGTTGTAGACGCTGGACATGTAGGTGCGCGGCAGGGCCCGCTCGATGTAGCAGTCCAGGCAGAGCAGGGCCGTGGAGTACATGGTCACCAGCGAGCAGACGTTGAACAGCACCAGCAGCGTGACGTGGACCTCGCTGCTGAAGCCCCACAGTGCCCACCCGGAGGCCATGGGGCCCAGCAGGTGCACGGGCGCCAGGGCGCTGAGGACCAGGCCTGCCACGGCCATGTTCACGAAGTAGACATCGGGCATGGTCATGCTGCTCTGGTCGCACAGGTTCACCAGGACCAGCAGGGCGTTGTAGCCCAGGCCGACCGGGACGCCAACAACGAGGCAGAGCAGGGAGAGGACGGACAGGACCAGGTGGGAGTGCGGGCAGAGGAGCTGGTCCTCGCCCCTGCCCGTGCCGTTGAGCACGCCACAGCTCCACATGGCGCAGCCGGGCTCTGTGGGGAAAGCAGCAGAGAGTGAGTCATCTCCTTGAGCAGAACCCCCGCCTCCAAGGCCTTCGGAAATGCAGAGGGGGCACGGGACAAAGCCCCTCCCCTAGGCCAGCACAGAAGCCGTCAGGAGTGACGGCCCTCTAGAAAGGAACCTGTCCCCAGGGTGTGCACTCTGCAAGCAAAGCGGCCTTAAGTCCTGAGCTGGGCCACTTTGTGCCAGAAGGGTCACAAGGCTGTGGTCATCTCGACGGCCACGGCAAGCCCCCTGAGCCTGTTCCCAAGGAGAAGCTGAGCCGCGGCACCTCGTCCAGGACACTCGGCGAGGCTCTCCCACAGGCGCTGCGCCCCCTCCTGCATCCCAGCCAGGGTGGGCCCCAACCTGCTCGCCTCCTCGGGTTCAGGGGCTTCTCTCCACCAGAGGGGTGCTCTGCGGGCCCCTGCTGCCCTGGCCCAGGAGCCCCCGGGGGGTGCGGGTCCAGGGGAGGACCTGCCTGGCCGCCCCCCATTTCAGCCTCTTCACTCAGCAGTGGGATGAAAGGACAGACTGCCCACGAGGGCATGGCCGGTCGGCCCTCGGGCTGTAACGCACGTGCGGCCACAGGCCTTTTGGTGACAGGTAGTGACTCAGCCAAGGCCAGAGGGGCCTGTCCTGGCGGGAGGAGTGGACCTCCCCCTTGCCCAGCCACTCTGCCTGTCAGCCCCTCCACCACTGCCACTCAGGAACGCAGGCTTCCACCAGCAAGGCTGCCAGCCCACCTGGATGCATTCCTGCCTCCCTGCATCAACCCGGACCCTGCACAGCGCGCGTGGGAACCGCATGGTCCCTCTGCCCTGCCCCCTACACCTGTGTCTGGTGGCCAGAAACCCACCTGGTCTCTCTCATACCTCCTGGGCAGCACTGGAATGCTGCACGTGAGCCCCATAAGTGGGCGTGGGTGCACACGTGTGAGCAGCCGAACCAAGCTCTGTGTGCATGACCCACAGTGTGCCGGGGTGAGTGGCAGGCGCTAAGCCAGGTGGCAGGGATCCTGCCTTCTGAGAAGGGCTGTGTGGCCCATGGGACTGGAGGCCTGGCCATCCTGTGCCACCTGGTACCTTGGTCCTGTAGGCTGTCTCAAAGTGAAGAAACGCACCCAGACCCCTCTCAGCCTGGCAGTTCCTGGGGTGGACGAGTGGGAGATGACCTGCCCGGTGCTGGCGCTGCAACGGTGGGTGTGGGCAGGTGGCCCTGCTCCCCGTACCCCCCTCCACCGACCTTGGAGCCGCGCAGATGGAGTGGGAGACCGTGGCTGCGGCGAGTCGGTGAGACCCCGAGTGGGGCCGGGCAGGTGGGGGCGCCACGTAGGGAAGAGCAGACGTTCCTCAGAAACGTCAGTTCTTTGGAGGAAAACCTCACGTTCCAACGGCCTTGGGCTCAGCAGACCTGTGCCCAGGACGAGGAGACATCCTCGCGGCTCACACAGCCGTCTGTCTCCCAGGCTCCAGGGCGCCGTGAGGAGCCAGCCCGCCCCCGGGAGGAGGCGGAGCCAGGCCTGCAGCACCCTGCCTGGTGGGACGAGAACATGGGGAAAGGGGAACAAGCCGAGTCACCCATCAATTCCCGACCGTCCGCGTGGCCCGCCGCCATGCTGGGTGCTGGGCTCACAGCGGCGAGGGAGGGGAGCGTCTGCCACCGCGGGGCTCGGCCAGCATGCGCGGGTCAGCGGCGGTGGGCAGTGACGAAGGAAACGGGGCCGGCTGCTCTGGCAGCATCGTCAGTCACGACGGGCGGGCTGGGGCTGTGGGAATTCCCACTCCAGCGTGGACGGGAGGGACACCGTGTTTGTGGCAACGTTGTGCAACCCTAACAAGTGCCACCCGGCAGGCTTGGATGACATGCAGCAGGTGGGAAGGATGCAGGCCCTGCTGGCGAGGCGCTGGCGGCTTTGCCCACATGTGCCACCGCGTCACTCAGAAGCATGTACTCCCCCGGCGGGCACTCTGCACCCCGGAGGCTGTGTTCCAGGGACAAGGAGGGAGCACCCGGCAGGTGGTGCAATCCCGGGAGGCCGGCGGGTCCAAGCCAGCCCCCCCCAGCAGGGGCTCCCTCGGGAAGCTGTGGTCTCCCCGTGAGCTGGGGAGGAGTCCTTCTCTGTCGTCCTTTAGCTGACTGAACGTCCGGTTTCCGTTCTCCTGGGTCTCCTTCCTGGTCTAATGCCGTCTCCTCCCACGGTGTGTCTGTCCGTCTGCTCAAGGCTCCTCCCTGCTGAGCTGCGGGTTTGAGGGTGACTGGGGGGTGGGAGCTGGGGCCCACGGTCGTGGGATGCTGGTCCACCAGACCTCCTGGCCTCAAGTCCCCAGGAAACACTGTGTGTCCTTGTGGCCACAGTAGACGTTTTTCACTCCAGGGCACCCTGTCCGCACCGTGACCAGCCCGCGGCCAGATACCCCTCTGGTCTGGCCTTGCCCAGCTTGGCTCACGTCCAAGGGCCCCTAGAGTCCGCCTGAGACGTGCCCACCCATTCTCATCTTCAAGTCTCTTCCTTACATGGGGACAGAAAGGGTGGGGGTCAGCCCCTGGACACAAGGGCCCTCTGCCGTCGCCAGGACAGGCGCTCGTGTGGGGTATCTGCCAGCAAGGAAGGCCGTGTGCCCTCTGCGCCCGCCATCACAGCCCTGGCCCGGGCACCCAGGGAGACATGCTCTCGGCCCCACAACCCTGTTCTCTAGGTCCTGCCCTGTCAGTTTCCCTTTCACTTCACCGGGTAAGGGCTCGTCCTGTGTGGCGCTGGCATTGGCTTGCCCGGCGCCTCCTCCCGAGTTCCCAGCACACCGCCAGGCGGGCAGCGCCAAGCCGTGGCCCTTACCTTCACTCCACATCCCCCATGTCTCTGCCTGCACCGTGGGCCCCGTCAGGAAGCGACGCTGCAGCAGAGGCACCAGGGAGGGCCCGGGTGCTTCTCCGGAGCCCACAGCCTCCTTATCAGCAGGAGCCGGGCAGTGCGGCTTCCTGTGCATGTGTGAGCCGTGGCGCACGCGCCGTGCCCAGTGTGGAAGCGCACCACTTGTTTTTCCTCTAGTAAATTGCTCACAAAGTCTCTGCCTGGCTTGGCAGCCTCGGCGGCCCCTCCCTATCTCTGTTTACAGCCAGTTTCAAGAAACAAGGGCTGTGCCTGGAGGGGCCGGCGCCGGGGATCAGGCATGCTCCCACCCTCCGGCTCTCCGCCCGGGGGGCACCCGCTGCTCTGTCCAGCCATGCTGGCACCTCCCTCGGCTTCCCTGCCCCATCCAGGAGCCGTGGGGCCAGTCTGGCCAAGCCTTGCCCAGTCCAGAGGCCAGTCCCCGTGCTCAGCGTGGGGGCAGGGTCAATCAGCTCCGTTTCTCCCTTGAAGAGTGCACCGAGCAGACGTTTGTCTGTGGAGATGAAGGGCAGGAAGCTGGGCCTCCCAGAGACTGCCATGGAGAGAGAGCAGTCGGGCGGCTGTCACTCGAGCACCGAGCACAGAGAGCCCTTGGACGGCCCGGCCATGGCTGAGGGCGGGCGGGCAGGCTCTGAGCATCGCCGTGCTGTGTGGCCATCAACGCGGACGGAAGGGGCCAAGCTGGCCGCGAAGCCGAGCGTTCCTCTAGGGGAGGGCTTCATCCGAGGACAGAGCTGCGGGCAGGCCCGTTTGTCCTCCAGCCGTGCCCCCCGCCCCCCCTCCCCCCCTCCAGGCACGGGGCCGAGGAAGCTGCTGCCTGGACTGCCAATGGCCCGCCGCGGGGGCAGCAGGGGCGCAGAAAGGGCAGCCAGCGAGCGGCCCGAGTTGGGTGAGAACTGCTGGATTCTTGGGCAGTCGTCACGTGGAATAAAATCTGTGTCGAATTTCCTTGTGCGTTCACATGTGCGTGTGTCCCTGGCTCACGCCGCCTGAGAGGAGCTGTGTGCGTGCGCATGAACCGCCCCCACATAGACGGGAGAGCGACCAACGTCAGCGCCGGGTTTCAGATGGGAAACCCACTTGAGGTTTTCTCTGCCGGCAGCTTACAAATGCAGGATTCATAAACTTTATTTCACGCGCTTGAGTTAGCTTCTGTGCGCAGTTTTCTTACACGTCAATTACAAGGACAGTTTTGATGTCAAATCCAGGTTATGAGTTAAAGGTACCAATTTTCATCCGTTTTCGGTCAGTCTGAAAGCAACACCCTTTTTTGTTCCAGCATTCTTCCTGGAGGCACCCATCTCTCCAGGGGCCACTGAGAGATGTGGGAGCAAAGGGCCCCCGTCAGAGGAGCTGCTTTGTTTTGCAGACATGAGTGTCTGGCATTTTCTAAAGTGGGGAGTGTTCATTCTCGTCCATGTAAGGTTGAAGGGTGAGCAGTGTGGGAGAGAAGGAAACAGTGGGGGCAGAGGGCCAGGAGCAGATCGGTGACGTCACCCCTGCGGGGGTCATGTCACCAGGACACACAGACCTTCCGGCCCAGGTGCCTGGAGATGGGCTTGTCCGAGATGGGCAGCGCCACAGCGCTCGTCAGTCCTGCAGCCAGGCGTTTGTGGACGTGGGTCCAAGCACTCTCTCCGTGGAGCCAGTTCACTGTCGTGTGCATGGCACAGTGTGCACGGACAGGAAGCAGACGGAAGTGCTCCGAAGGCCGGAGCAGTGGCTGCACCCATGGCTCCACTTGGGGCTCGGCCTGCACCCCCCGAAGTGCCGTGCAGCTGTGGGTCTGGAGAGAACAGGCGAGGTGGTGGCAGGAAGTGTCCCACCTGCCGGAGCCTCGAGGCAGCTGGTGAACGGCGCTCCAGTCTTGCAGCTGGTTGCCCTCATCACGGCGTGGGTGTTCCAGAGAACGTGGTGGGGGTCGTGCTGTCCTGCCCTGTCCTGTCCTGGTGCTGCTCCTGCAGGATGGCCCCTACCTGTCCTCCTGCCCCCGAGCCTGCTGTCTTGGCCACAGAGGGGCCTCTGTGGGGGCTGGTCCCATTTCCTTGAGGTCACCCCATTTCCCTTTGTGCACTCCGGTTCTGCGAGGCCAGGAACCTGGGGACAGAGACTTCCCACTTGGCCCCCTGGGGACGCGGCAGGGCCTGAGAACAATGGTTTGGCTACTTCCCTCTGGCACAGGCCTCGGCCGCCCGCCGCCTTTCCAGTTAGCCGGCTCTGCTCACTTCCTTCATGAGAATGAGGAACTTGGAACGCAGTTGGTGCAGATGCTGGTGCCAGGAGGGGCCCCCTCTGCTGAGAAGAAGCCCGGCCTGGGGCGAGGCCCTCCTGCAGAACCTCGAATGGGCCAACACGGCGCACGGGGCACCCCACATTCTCCCCAAATGGCAGCATTAATAATCCAAGTTTTGGGGGTCCCGTCACCTGCTGCGTCCCCTCAGTGGAAGGAGTTAGGGTGGGCGAGGAGCCCAGTGGGCCTCTCGTCCAGGCTGGCCTTAGGAACAGGTCAGTCCCGTCACCACACCCTATCCCGGGCCCCTCCTGGACACCTCCTGCTCAGAGCTGTCCACCTCTGCCTGCCTGCGCTGCCCACAGAGCTTGCCCTCTGCTCCTGGACCTGCCCTCCCCTTCCCCGTGCCCTGGAGCCCCTCCTGCCCACTTCCTCCCACCTGACCAGCCCCCTGGCGCTGCTTTGACCCACCTCTCCCATGCCTGCCTCCAGGCTCACCCCGGCTGGCGTGGCCACCTTCTTCCCGTTCTCATCGCCGCCTCTCCCCCATGATTCCCCCGGGACTGGTACCCACTTGTGGCGTCCACCCAGGTCCTGCGTCAGTGCCCACAGCTATAGCTCGTCCACAGCCCCCTCTCCAGACCAGGCACCAGGAATGGCCCGACCTCCTGTCCTCCCCTCTCCACAGGGCTGCTCGAGTCCCTCCGTGGGTTCCCACTCCTGCCAGCCTGCTGTCTCACCTCGGTGGGGTCCTGGTTCTGCCTGGTTGGGGTCCCAGCCGCCTCCCAGGACAGCTTTTCTGAGCCAGAAACCCTTACTGACCTCACTCTACTGAGCCCAAGGAACATAGACGTGGCTGCGGGCTGACTCAGCGTGTGCCATGTCCGCAGGCAGACGGCGCAGAGTCCATCAGCTCCCTGCCTCGGGTCTTCCTGGGCAGAGATGCCGCACGTGCCCGCGAGGCCCTGGCCGCATGCGTCTGAGCTTGCTTCTGCTCTGCAGCGTGTTCTCTGAGCCCGGTCTGCAGACAGCCTTGTCCACACAGCAGGGGCACACTGGGCACAGACAGGCGTGTTCCTGCTGGGTTCCAGGGCTCCAGCAGCGGGAGTGCGCAGCCTGGTCAACTGCTCAGCCAGGAGCGGGCTGGGCTGTGGCCCCGGGCCTCTGTGGAGACACAGTGATGGCCCGGCGGGAGGGAGCGGGCCCACTTCTTCGGGTGCTGAACATCTTGGCTGAGAGAGAAGAATGAGGGACCGCTGGGGTTGTCTTATCATCTTATCCTGTTTTCCTGTAAAAGGACTCATTAACCATCTTAAGGTGACTCACACGCCCTCTCTTTCTTTCTGAGGGTTGTTTGTTTGTTTTCTGATTACTCTCGTGAAGAAGAAAACCTCCACACGGGCAAGTTTGCAGTGCCCGCCCCCGGGCCAGCCCAGGCGTGTGACCAGTCCTGTTGGATGGGATAGAGCGGAGCAGGTGGTTCCAGGCCTGTGGGGCCAGCAGGGGACAGGAGAGACAACAGCGGACCAGAGCAGCTCAGCTACAGGAGGGCGCTGGACGCCAGGCCAGGCCTCAGAGGGCACGCTGGCCTGAGAAGCACGAGCAGAAGCAAGCGCCCTGATGCAGGCGAGCCCTTCGGCAACTCAGAACCCTGCCCTGATGCCCGAGCAGCTCTTGGGGTCTCTTGCCTCTTTTCCTCCAAGCCTGGCTGCACGCACATCACAGGGCGACCTAGGGAGAGGCTTCAGGTCAAAGGTGACTTTCTCCTACAGAGGAGTCCGAGAGGACCAGGCCGTCGAGCCACTGTCCGGGGCCCGAGGCTCCTGGCCTCGCGGTTTGGAGTTTCTTCCTCATGAGTGTGAAGTGCAGGCGCTCCGACCCCCCTGCCCGCACACTGCCTGTGGTGCCGGGGCCGCGCAGAGCCTCTGCAGGGAGCACAGCTGCGGCCAGCTCTGCAGCACAGGGGTGGCCTCGCCCTCAGAGGAGGGCTTGGCTGAGGCTCGCAAGGCCGGATCGTCCTGGTCCGAAAAGCTGGAGTCCCATTTGTGGCACTTGGCGAACGGCACTGCCATCAGGCCTCTTTGCTGGCTTGTGGGACGACCTCAGCCCACCCGGTCAGCAAGGCCTGGTGACGCAGCAGCCGCCTCTGACAGGCCTAACGAGGCTCAGCGAGAGTCCGTGGTGGTGTGGCAGTGGCTCTCTGTGCACCCACGGGGAGGGCCTATGGACGGAGCTCTTTGGGGCTCCCCGTCCCAGCCCAGTTTCTAATGACTTAGCTGCTGCAGAGCTTCCTCTCCTGGATCCTCGACTGGGGCCAGCAGTCACTCATTACAAATATGTTCTTGTGCATAAAAAGCAAAGTAGTTTTCTTCCAAGACACCCTCTGGACTCCAGCAATTATTTTTCACAAAGATGCTCTCCTCCACTTGCCAATTTCCATCCTGGGAGGGCTCTCGGCCGCCTCCCAGTGCTGCTGCATGTGCCCTCCAGCTGGGCCTCTCCGTCTCTGTGGCTCAGGAGGCTCCTCGGCAGGGTTACAGGCTCTCATGTGGATGCTGAAGACGTCTGCTCCAGGCTCACAGTGTGGAGAACTTGGAGAAGCCAGAGAGGAAACCCAGGATGCTGCCTCCAGACCTGGAGGCCCGAGAGAAGAGGCTCTCTGTGGAAGCACAGTGGGTCTGGCACTGGCCAAACCCTCCAGGCAGCTCTCCTTGCCAGCCTGGAAATCCGTGGGAGCATCTGCCCGGGTCAGATGGTTTCTTGCTCTGCCCTGGGCCCTGAGCAGGGGTTTGGCATCTCTGGTTTCTCCCTCGT